GTGGAGACCAAGAGGCAGGGGCTCAAGCCACCCAAGGAAGCTGGGCTGAGAGGGCTCCAAGGAAGTTATGGCTTGTGAGCAACATTAATCCTGGGTGAGAGAGACTTTTATTCTCTGAAGTGTCTTGCTTGCTTTTCTGCTATGCTTTAAGCTTGAAACCAGAGGATTGTATTGTGGCTACAGGGAAGGTGTGGAGGCCACGGAGCAGTGCTTGGGAGGGGACTCTGCAAAAGGAAACAAGGGACCCAGACGGCTGAGGCAACAAATAGCCCAGCCCAGAGTCGGGGGTCCAGAGCACGAAACAGGGGCTAGAGGCTCGGACAGGGGCCCAAAGCACACACGTATGAGATGGGACTGGGGCCAGGAGCAGTGGACCTGGGTTGAGGGGTGCAGCCAGAATAAGAGGGCCAAGACTGCTAAGGCTAAGACAGAGATTCAGGTCCTAAAGGTCAAAAGCTGTGTTCAGACCACGGAGTAATGAATATGGAGTAATCTCTGTGAGGCACAGGCGTGGCTACAGGAGAAGGGCCACAGATATAATTCATAAGGCAACTGGTGCTCGGAGGCACTGATGGGGCCAGGCTGCCATTATATAGTGCCCCAGGGGCAAGACTGGAGCCAGTCAAGCCGAAGTGAACAAGAGGCACCAGCCAGCCAGTGAACAAGGGCTTGTCTGGGGACTCTGGGGCAGCCTCCACTAACATCATAATAAATCCATCAAGGTAGGACAGGTGAGGAAAAGGAAGGGTACCCCAAGGAGTGGGAGTGGGGAGGCAGGAGTTGCGCGGCCACTGGGAGACATCACAGCCATCCCTGGGACGTGGCCCTGCATTGGGAGGGTTGTCTTATATTTGCGTAAATACGGGTAAATTGGCTCTGCAATGGTAAGCAAAGTAACGAATAGTAACTCCCTTCCCCTTGTCCCCCAAAATAATTTGGTAGCAGACTTAAGGAAAAATAAAAGATATGCTAGTCTTACACAATCACATATTTTGACTACAATAACACTTCAAAATTATTGTGTGAACATTTTTTGAAAGGAATAAATGGAAGCTGAGAAAAAAAGAAAAAATATTTTAAAGCAAGTAATCTAGCATGGAAAATCAATCTTACCTGGTAAACATAAATTGCAAGTGTGGCACAGTAGGCAAATCTATCCCCACTAGCAGCGCACACATCTTTGTTCCATGGCTGACATCCAGCAGCTAAAAGACCCACTTGCTTAACCTGGGACATCTTTGCCTATAAAACATATGCATTTATGAAACATTAACTAAAACAAGACACTTTTTAGATGAGCTAACAATATATTGTTATCTGAGAAACAAAAACCCCTGCAAGATTGTGCAGTTGTATGTTTCAGCAACTACAGTGAACATATCAGAAATAAAACCAGGCAAGTATTCATATGACTTAAATCCTACAGAAGAGAAGAGGCTTAAATTCATTCACAAGAGTATATGCAGGGAAAAAAATAATGGCTAGAAGCCTCTTTGAGTGAAAACCTATGTATCCTGAATTGGCAGCAACTCAAGTTCTGGTCCACTATTCTTTTTATTTCCTCCTGCAGTAAAATACAGTATTTTCTATTTTAAAAACAGCTTCTTTTCCCTCCTTTCTTCCTCCCCACATAAAAATCTGTTGGACAAAAACCATACCAAATATTTCAATGTAAAACAAACTAAGCAATTTAATTTCGACAACGTTTTTTTCTTCAGTCTTTAAACATTCATGTTAATACTTTGTGGGATAATTCTTAAGATTACCTTTTCAAATCAGTGAAAAGTAGCTCTTCATCTTTTCCCAGTACTGTATATCTACAGTATAATATTGAAAGGCACTAGAGAAATTTAAATTCAAATTGGTTCATTATATGTTAACATAAGTGTAACAACTGCTTGGACAGTCTTCCCCCTTTGAAACATGAATCTTCTGTTGACCTAGTCTATCAGCAGGTGCTAAATGACTGCATAAAGCAGCTGAAGTACTGCTGGATGATTATTATAAGTAAAGCTTGTTAACCTGGATATGAAGGAAATGCCAGTGGCTCTGCAGGAAAAATAGGACAGAAAAGGTCATGGAAAGAAAGCCTATGTACAGCCCAGGTCAAGAAAGCCAAGATACAGTTTATGCTGCATTAGTGTTTCTGGGTTACTAACTCTGTTAAGGATACAACAGTAATTTACTCCATTCCTGGCCGTTATATATAATGTCCTAGAACCAAGATAGTACAGGCAACCCCCGCTTAATGCAGTTTCGCTTACCGCAGTTTCGTTATAATGCTCATTTCAAATACTTATCTAGTTTCACTTAGCACTGAGTGCGTTTCGCTATAACACTCAGCGCAGGCGTGGGGAGAAGCAGTGGCGGTGGTGGCAGCAGCGAGGGAAGTGGTGAGCGGCAGCCGGCGGGAGCCCAGGGAGGGGTGGCAGAAGCCCAGGGTCCGCTCTGGCACATGGAGCGGGGAGGAGTCGTAGCAGCGAGAAGGGGAAGGTGGAGGCCATGAGCTTGGAGCCCAGACTAGCGAGACCCAGGAGCTCAGGGTCTGCTCCGGCACATGGTGCTAGAGCAGCCAGTGGGCAGGGCGGA